CTAAGAAAGCATTTCCCCCTTCCTTGGTGTTCACACCTCAACTGCTAGCAGAGCACCTCACCCTCCCTGATTGAACTAACCTCGTTATCTCCATACTGATTTATACCTGGCTCTGGAGATTTCCATTACTTGCATCTGAAGAAGTGAGGTTCTTACCCACGAAAAGCTTATGCTCCCAATACTTCTGTTAGTCTTAAAGGTGCCACAGGACTCTGTTGCTTTTTACAGATTCAGACTAACACAGCTACCCCTCTGATAGTAACCATAGTGACTCTATGCTGACATAACTTGAGTTAACACACACTTAAAGTGTAGATATGGCCTTAGATATATGAAATGTTTGGGAGAGGTAACAGGAACAGTATGAGGGTAGACTAAGATTCATTCAGGTGTTTAGGCTCAAGGCATTGGAACTGGCCTTACTGCACCCTACAGGCTCAGGAACAAAGAGGCACATAAAAAAAAAGATATCATTTATTTATTAAAATTTCTTGACTCGAGGGTGTGTAACTCATGGTTTTAGAATTCTTGTGGTTGTAAAGGTATCTTGGGGTTGTAGCTGTGTGTTCATGATATTTTGAAAGGCAAAACTATGAATATGTTGAACAAAGAATTAGATCAGTCCTCAGATAAGTACATTGGCGATTAGCCAAGATAATCAGGGCTGCAGGTCCATGCTCTGCATGTCCCTAAACCATCCTTTGACTGCCAGATGCTGGGAGTGGACAATGGGATGGTTCACTGAGTCATTCCCTGGTCTGATAATTCCCTTAGAAGCACCTGGCATTGGCCATTGTCACAAGACAGAATACTAGATTAGGCGGACTATTGGTCTGACCTATGATGGCAGTTCTAATTTTCTGCAAAAATTACAATAGATTTTTTTTCCAGGGAGAAAGACGTTATAGGAGATAGTATACTGCCTTTATTGAATACACCTCCACCCCGATATAACGTGGTCCTTGGGAGACAAAAAAATCTCACCGTGTTATAGGTGAGACCGCGTTATATCGAACTTGTTCCTTGTTCCCCGACCGCCCCCTACAGAGACTCCCGTCCCTAATCACCCCCAGGACCCCACCTCCTACCTAGTCCCCCTGTCCCCTGTCTACACCTCCACCCCCTGACAGGCACTCACCGGCAGCAGCGGGAAGCAGAGCAGCCCGGCCCCAGCCCACTCCACTCTGCCACCTCCCAGCCGCGGCGCTCCGCTTCCCGCTGTCGGTGAGTGTGGGGAGGTTGGGGAAAGGACGCCCCCCCGCACTCACCAGCGGCAGGAAGCGGAGCGACGCGGCCCCAGCCTGCTCCACTTTCCTTGCCCTGGTCCCAGCTGGGGGGGGGGGTGCTGGGGAAAGTACTCACCTGTGGCGGGAAGGGGAACGCCGCGGCTGGGAGGTGGCAGAGTGGAGCAGGCTCGGGCCGGGCTGCTCCACTTCCGCTTCTGCCGGTGAGTGCAAGGGGGATCCCTTCCCCCAAACTCTCTGCCCCAAGCGACACGGCTGGGGGCGGGGTGAGGGAAGCGGAGCGGGCTGCTCCCGGCCCCTGCTAATCCCCAGGGCCACTCTGGGACTGCGGGGCCCCCAAAGGTGCCCCCCCCACACACAGCTCCTGCCTCCCAGACCCTGGGAGGGGGAGCCCCTGACTGCCCCCGAGACCCTCTGCCGCTTATCCAACCCCTCGGCCCCGGCCTGGCCCGGCACCCTTAACACGCTGCTCGGAGTGTCAGAGCTTTACCGCCTTGTATGCAAACCTGCATTATATTGGGTCGCGTTATATCGGTGTAGAGGTGTATTTGAGAATCAAGTTGTACCCAATGGCATGCGGAAAAACACAAAGGGCTAGACTGAGAGACAAAATAACAGTTGCAAAAATGCAATCCCCATTGGTGGATTGACTCAAAACAAAGTTTTGACACTAGGCCCGAAATTCAGTC